AACCAATGTGGTGGCTCCGGGGCCAGTGGAAGTCTATTCGCCATGCTGTCAGAGGCCTGGCAGTTTCTAGCTTCTCACACATGTGTCTAAGAGGTTCAGGGAAGGGCCAGGCAAAATGTATTTGGCAGCCCCTGTCCCTGCTGCGTCCTTCCATGTGCACTTGTGCTGTCCCTGTATCATGGCTGTAGTTGTTGTGGGTGTTACTGTAAAAGAGGCTTAGCAGAATCCCCCCTCGGTTGCTGCTTCTCAGGGGAGCAGAAGCCCTGTGCACACGTGCCTCCTTTCTTGCCCACATAGTTCCTGCTGAGGTCTGGCTGCCCCGGCTGCGTGCTCTGGCAGGTCAGTGCTTCCCTCACATTACAACACCAACAGGGCATTAACACGTTAGGAGTAAATATCCATTTGCCTAAGCTAATCCTTGGTTTTCCTAATAATCACAGCTGGGATTCCACCCAATTGGCAGTTCCTTTAAGCCCCACAGCTGGTGAGCTGGTGGGCTGGTGGGCAGCGTGCCAGCTGGTGGAATCATCCTCCATGGCTTGCTTCCTGGAGTTCAGTGCGGGGTGCACTCCTCAGTCGTGCGGCAACCTCAGCTTGTCTCCTGCTGGCTGAGGAGAGCAGGCCTTGGCCTGACTTTCAGGGAAGCTTCAACTGAGGCATATGGCCCACTGTCTACCCCAGACTCTGTGGCCTCGTGAGCATTGTCTGAGGCATTGGTGTTCTCACTGTCAGAGCCGCAGCAAGTGCTGCAGAGCAGGATGGGTTACTGGGCTGTCACTCATGTGTGCCAGGCATTAGGCCAGGCCCCTGTGGGGGTCCCACTTACATGTCTGGGCAGAGGGGAGAGACACTGGCAGTCAAATTAAAAAGCATGAAGTGGGAGCCTAGAGCAGCAAAATCATAAGGCCATGGTCACCTAGCCCCTAGGAGGCAGGTCTGGGATTGGAATGTGGGTCTAGGACCCCACGTCCTTAGTTCCTGCAGTGACCCTATGTGGCCTCTGGGGCAGAGGGTCTCCACTCAAATCCTTTCTTCCCACAGAGATGGTGAATGGCTGGCTTTCCCACCTCTCTTTGGTCCCCTCATACTGGGGACCCAGATTTGGGACTTGTTGTGAAGGCTGCAGACCTGCCTTTAACTCCACCCAGTGCTCACGGGGCCTGTGCTTTGTCCTAGGAAGTCGGGAGAGCCCTGCTGTGTGTGAGGACCCAGGGACCGTCATGCACGTCCCAAGGGCCCATTTCTTACAACTCTTTCAGGCTGGCGGATACTGATGACCCATCAGTTACTGATCAGTGGATGTTACAAAGGCAGCTATGAAGGATGGTCTGTGGCAGACTGAACTGGACCGCCCATAAGGTCACTGGCCCCAGACCCTGGTGTGTGATGGGGCACGAGTAAAGAGCCCAGAGTGGCAAGGCCCCCTTTGGAGCCCTGACCTAATTCTCGGGTCCTCTGTCCAGGCCAATGTGGACAGCCTGTCATGTCAGTGTCACCACCCTACCGCATGGTACTGCTCAGGCATTGGTTCCAGTGTGGCATCAGCAAAACCTCTGCCCTTTCAGAACTCAATCTGTAATGGCAGACTTGAGACACCAGAGGTAAAACGTGCAGTTTCTCTAACGTAATAGTATTGATAACAGCTAACATTTTGTGACTAGTTCCTGTGTATAAAGAGCTGATTCTAGCGCTTTACATGTGCTAACCTATTTAAGCCTCCTAACAAGCTGTGTGAAGTGGGCACTTGTATTGTCACAGTTTTACATGTGAGGAAACTGAAACGTAAATAATTATAGCATTTGCACGGACTTTCAGAGCTAGCAAATGACAGAGCAGAATTTCAACTCTGACATGTCAACTTTCAGGAAAGAACTTTATAGTTTGTACAAGTTTACCCACCAAAGCAGCTTGTGCCTGCCACCAGTGGGTCCTGTGTAAGTGCCTAGAAGGCTCTAATGCTGAGCAGAGGGTTGGTGGGCACATACCTGTGTCTGCCTCTCTCCCTTGTCCCCAGAGCCAGTGTGCTATGGACCTCTCTGAGAGGATAACGTAGCTGCAGGTTTTAGGTAGGGAAGAGACTTACTTGCTCGTGATCACACAAGTAGTCAGTGGTACAAGACCAACTTGAACTTAGCTCTCTTGATTCCTTGTTCACTGAGCTTCACCTTCAGATACACAAAGTTCAAAACAAAGTTTTATTTTTAAGCGCCGATTTTATCTCTACCATTGGTTTATTATTTATGACATCTCTTTTTTAAAAAAATGTAGTTGTGGACTTAGCATTAACCACATAGATCTTTATTTAATCATAGTCTACCTTCCAGTGATGCTATTCTGCCTCCCAAGCACTAGACGAGCTGTTTTTGTTCGTATAGGCTATAAGCCCCAATAAGGTGCCACTGCTTTTGCTTAGAAATTAGTCGAAATTAGTTTGGGAAAATTAAAAATAAGAAAAAGAATGTCTTCTGTATTTGCCAGTACTTTAGCCATTTCTGGGGAAACTTCAATTCTTTGTGTGGATACAGGTTTCTGTCGGGTTTCATGTTCTTTCTCCCTGAAGAGCTACCCACAGCATTTCTTGTAACTCTGATCTGCTGGTAATGAATCCTCAGTTTTTGTTTGTCTGAAAAGTCTTTAATTTTTTCTTTTTTTTAGTGTTATTTTTACTGAGCATAGAATTTTTTTTTAGTGTAGAATTGAGTCGACTCTCTTTTCTTTCAGCACATTAGAAATACTGTCTGATTTGTTCATTTGTGATGCGAAGTCTGCAGGGATTCTCGGCTATGTTCCTCTACGCCGGGTGTGTCTTTCTCTGATTGCTTTCAAGATTTTCTCTACATCTTTGCCTTTCAAGGTGTGATTTTTTTAAATATCTGTGAAGGGGTCTTTTCCCTGCTTGGTGTTCTGAAAGACTCTTGGTGATTTGATGTCTCGTTATTTTTAGAAAATTCTTAGTCATGTGTCTTTAAGAATTTCTTCCATCCTGTTTCTCCTTCGTCCCTTTCTGTGCCTCCAGGAATGTGTTAGCTCATGTGGACGCTCTCTTTGCTCCTCTCCATTTGATTACAGATGCTATTCCGCTTATGGTGGGGGTTATGTCCCAATAAAACCATCATTAAGTTGAAAACATCATAAGTCAAAAATGCATTCTACCGGACACTGTAGTTTAGCCTCACTTGCCCTAAATGTGCTCAGAGCACTTGCGTTAGCCTATAGATGGGCAAACTCTCTAACACAAAACCTATGGTACCACATACCCCTAGCCCAGAAAAAGATCAAAATACAGTTTCTACTGAAAGTGTATCACTTTCACACCATAGTGAAATTGGAAAATCATAGGTGAGACCATGTCAGAAACGATCTGTATTTCTCTTGACCTGTTTTCAAGGTCCAGTGTCTCCCTGCTGTCTGTATCCATTTGGCCAAGGGCGCAGAGTGTTCTTCTCTGTTGTTGTGTTTTATTTCTGGCCTCTCCATTTGACTCTTGTTTATGATTTCTGTCTCACTTCTGAAATTCCCTGTTTATCCTGCTGTTCAGCTTTTTCTCTATAATTTTTAATATACTCATCATGTTTATGAATCGTATTAATCTTAGTTATTTTAAGTTCCCTATGAGGTTGTCCCAATATCTAGGTCATCTGTGAGTCTTATATTGTTTTATATTCCTGACAATGTACTTTTTTTCTCACTTTTTAAAATGTGTGTGCGTGTCTTATAATTTTTATACTGAGTAAGATATGTGTAGGACAGAAGAGACTGAAATAAATAACACTTATACTAGGAATGGGTTTTCCTGGCTGTAGTGGGGAAGTTGAGTCAGGCTGGTCAGAAGCTGAGCTGGGTTGGGCTTTGCTATTGCTGTGATTCCCGTCAGTGCACCAATCCTCTTGTGTTGCCTTGGGCTTCTGATGGGAGCTGATTGGCCCTCAGGTTTTTCTCAACATTCTAGTTCTCCCGTCAGCCCACAGCCTGGTCTGCACTCATGGGAGGGGCTCCCCCAGGCCCTTGCCTGCTTCCTGCCGGTAGATTGCTTTGCTTGTTGACCTGGGAGGGGACAGGGGTGATTCTCTGTTGTCTTGGTCCAGCCTCAGACTGAGACTGAATCTCAGGGATGGGGCTTTCTCTGGGGATCTGTCCCTTCCCCGGTAGCAGGAGACCTCTAATGTGAGGGCCCTAAATGAGTTCCTGCTCCACCTTCAGGGTTGAAGGGTTTTCTTTTCCCTTCTGTAGCTGCTGTGGGTCTTTACCTGTACCCTGGAAGCAACAAACTTTCCTGCCCTTCCTACCGGGCCTTTGTTCCTCAGGAGAGAAGGTCAAGGCAGGCTTCCTGCCTCTCCCACAGCAGCAGCCTCTCCTCCCTCTGGGCCTGCATCCCTGGCAAGGTTTCCTCAGTCTGCCTCCCTGCCCTGCCCCCAGGCCTTGTCGTAGCACCCTGTGGAGGTCCCAGGAGAGCCAGTGAACCAGCACAAACTCCTCATTTCTGACTGCCAGGGAGCTAGATTCCAGACTAGTGTGAGGCCACAATTGGTTAAAGATTTTTGCTGAATTCTTTCCCACTGCAGTTCTTTCTCTCTGTGAAATCCTATATGGTAGAAATACTATATAATGGCGGCTACTGTGCATTTCTTCCCAAGTTCAGTGACAACACCTTAGTTGCTTAAAATAAGTCATTGTGGCAATATTTACACCACAGAAATCAGTAAATGCCATAAATCGGGACTCCCCCCTCTTCTTGATCTGAAAGCCAACTGATAAATGTTTACCAGAACCCACTATTTGGGGAAACCCCAGGAAGGTTGACCATGATTTGTGCTTTTGGTGAATGGCTCAGTGGCCTCTGGAGGGGTTGGACTCTATGACATTAGGTGGCTGTGCTTGAGCCAGCTCCTGTGCAGGGCAGTCCCCCACCACTGGCAGGGAGACTCACCCTGGGAAGGCCCCTGCATGCTGGAGGTGGTGTGGGTTCATGCTCCACCCTCCTGCCCTCCTTCTCCCCTCAGACCGCAGCCAGGACAGCACAGCCGTGGCTCTGTCAGACTCCAGCTCAACGCAGGACTTCTTTACTGAGCCTACTAGCTCACTGGAAGGCTCCCGGAAGCCCTTTACAGAGAAGAAGCTGCCCACTGTCAGTTCCCAAGCAGGACCAACCAGTAAAGACCTTCCAGGGGCTGCAGAAGAAAGAGGTATGGGGATTAACTTGGTGAATTAGGACTGCTTTGATGTCCTGTGGCATTCTGGATACAGCTAAAGACAGCAGGCTCCAGAGTGGCCCAGGAACCTTAGTTGGGCAAGTTCCGCACCTCTCTGGACCTCTGCTGTTCTGCCTATAGGTTGGAAATGACCCAGTGCCCACCCCCAGGGGTGTGAGGGTTAGAGGGCACCTCTCCTGAGGGTGCTTTGCGTGCTTGCCGACACTTGTTAGGACCCCATGCTTAGAGAAAGCCGTGTCCACATCAGTGGACCCTGTTCTTTCCCTTGGCAAATGGTTATTTTAAAAGTCTCCGATCCTAAGTGTCATAAATGTGTTTTCTTTTTAGTCTGATTCACTTCAGACCTTTAGGAAAAGTCTCCCACTTTTTGGCACAGGGCCCTCTGAGCCTGGAGTTTGCCCAGCCCTCCTGGAGTTCCCAAGCCCCATTGTTGAAACCTGTGAGCAGAGCCCCACCTCTGGGCATTTTGAGAGATTGCAGGCAGACCAGGGCCTTCCTAGTGCCACTCTAAGCTGTGGCTGGTCCGCTATGGGCTTTGACCTTCTCCACTCTGGCCAGGGCCAGAGCATGCAGGAGTCTGCCTGACAGCAAGTGCACCCGTCCAGACCCTGTGCCAGGCACTGCTGTAACTCTTTTGATTCTCCCTCCCTGCCCCTCTGGGGAAAAGTTTTATGACTGTTCTATTTTTTTTTTTCTTTTTTTGAGACAGTCTTATCACATCACCCTCAGTAGAATGCTGTGGTGTCAGCTCACAGCAACCTCAAACTCTTGGGCTTAAGCAATTCTCCTGCCTCAGCCTCCCAAGTATCTGGGATTATAGGCACCCATCACAACACCCGGCTATTTTTTTGTTGTTGCAGTTGTCATTGTTGTTTAGCAGGCCCAGGCCAGGTTTGAACCCGCCACCCTTGGTGCATGTGGCTGGCACTGTAACCACTGTGCTATAGGCACCGAGCTGACTGTTTTCACCTTATGGGTGAAGAACCTGAAGTTCAGAGAGGGCGGGAATTTGCCCAATGTCAGTCTATACCCTTAATCACTGCCACATGCTGCCTTTTCAGGTGGGCTGGATGGATGAGGGGAGGGCTGGTGATAGCCTGCCTACCTGGGCCTAGGCCTAGCCCCAGGAAGTCGCTGCACAGGCTCTGGATACAATTGAGGCTTGGGAGCTCACTCGTAGGTGTGGCTGTGGGGCCACAGCCATTTTATACCAGGGAATGCCTCTCTCAGCTCCCTGCTCCCTGCCAGCCACCCTTGGAGGCCACATCCCCTGAGGGCTGGAGAAAGAGTCCTTCAGGGACTCCTAATGGAGACACTAGGTGAGAGGGCACAGGATGGTGGACTGACAAGGGTGCTCTACCTGGACCTCGTCCTCATTGAGAGCTGACTCCAGCACCCTACTTTCTCACCAGGCAGTCATTATGTTCTCCACAGCCACTGTTGACACCCTACAACTGATGTAAGCATGCTATAAGACGTTTGCCATGGGAAGGGAAACAATAATTTATACTCTTAACATTCTACATATATTACAGCATTTCCAGTCTTAAAAAGATGTCTTAATAAGATGATTTTTAGGCTCGGCGCCTATAGCTCAACCGGCTAGGGCGCCAGCCACGTATACCTAAGGTGGCGGGTTCGAATCCCCAGCCCGGACCCGCCAAA